CAATTGCACATTGTTACTTTTTATCATTATTTCACATATGTCAACCTCATTTGGTTTCTATTTATAAAGAAGGAAATAGGCATATTTGCAGTGAATTATAGAGTTTTATATTAATATTTCCATACTATAATTACTCTAGTGGGTACACATTTAAGTATATTTTCTGTTTATCAAATTGTGAATAAATCAGAAGGATGAAAGCCAAATCTATATATTTAAAAAATCCAAGGTGACTGACTTTACTTATACAGACCTGGGTTTAGAATGTCCTTGGTTAATGACTGTGAAATTTAAAAATTCTTATTATGTGATACCTTAATCCTTCTTCCACAAAAATGTAAACAATATAGAAAGATAAACAATTTCGTTTATTTTAGTGGTTAACAACAATTACCACCATCACAACAGCAACAACAAAAATCCTGGGAGAATTCAGTAAATGTCGAACTGGCATATAGTCTGTTGTAGTTGTTTGTGCCAATACATATTTGAGTAATAAAATTAGAATGAGTACTAGTGTAATTATCAGCAATATAAGGTTAAAAAATGTTTTCAGGTGGTAAAATAGCTCATTTTGTTCACAGGTGGGTTATCCAGCCTGACATTCTTTAGAGTTGACATCTGATGAACAGTGGCATATTCTGCCTGTAGGTATGCATATTCAGGTATCCTATGATAAAAATTAGCTACTATGTCCCCAAAAGTTTTAGAAACAAAATTATGGATAGGAAGAATGCCCACATTTGTGTAGATCACCTAAAAGTAGGCTTTCTTACTGGGTAGCCTATTAGAGGGTCAAGAAGACTGTGGCTCTATAAATAGATCTCCCGATTACCAAGAGAGAGGGTAAACTTGTAAGTGTTTTAGCTTCTGCATTTGACAGTAACTGATTTTACTCTTAATCCCTGCAGCCTAGCAGCTTCACAGATGTCTATTTTTAGTTACTTAAATTTGCTGTTCAGCAATGTTTAATGAATACAATACCAATACGTGCAAGGACCTTACCTAGTTGCTATGGTTAAAGGATACAAAATGAAAAAAGTGCTGGGGTCAAGTACACAATACAAAATACATACATTAAACATCTTCAAAGCAGGATGCAAATTTTAAGCACCAAGAGTTAAGTCATTTAGCTTCAGAAATCCTCATCATCTTCCTGTACCCTCAGATATTTCAATGTTCTATATAGCTCAGAATATGTTTTCTTATTTTTTCCAGAGTGCTAGCCTGTCAGAGCCCCAAAATTCGGGACAAAGCACTCTATTTTAGAAGGCCATTTTTCAATCTTATGCTTGAACTAATCTTTATATTTGCAAGATTAGAACCCGACATTTGAAATCTATATAAGCTAAGGAGCTAGTTAAGAGAGAATTTAATGCTACAAAGAGCTCAACTTCCTTATTCCATTATGATCTGCTTACTGAATCTAAAAAGCACATGCTTCATTAACTTACTTAAAGGTTTTAGTTCAAAGCAATTGCACAGCTTTTAACTTCCCATTGGAAATTGCATCTAATTCATGGTATGGGTAAAGCAATATTTCAATTACCTAAGTAAGATGTAAACATATAAGAAATTAAGATACAGATATCTGATATCAATAACTTTATTGATTTTGGCGATGATATATGATAATGTAGAAACTGAATACCATATTTGCCTCTATATATTCCAATATAGCAAGAAAGGTTATAAAAAGGAATTGACAGTGAGTGTTTACACTCACCAAAACACAGAAATATTAAATATATAGACTTTGAAAAACATTGAACTTAAGAAATATATAAATTTTTAAATCCAAACAATTTTATTTGAAATTGTGAGAAGTACAAATGAATATACTACAAAGAAATATTTATGTTGTTTTGATGAAAATTAGCTCAGACACTTGATATTGCTTGGGGGCTCTAAGTATTCAGGAGAAAGTGCCTTCATATATAAGGAAAGATATCATTTTACAGTCTTCCAATAATGGTTAATGACAGGCAGTTAGAAAAAGCTTTAAGTAAATAACTGTTGTCCATTAACAGTTCAACTCTAACTCATTATCAAAATGTCCGTTTTAAATTATGTATACATGGCTATGAAACATTGAATTAGGGAGTAGTGCTTGGTGAATTTGTCCTACTGTTTCCATGGAAACAGTTGCTGGAGTGCATTTCTTTATGGCTAGTTTTAAGTGGAAAACTACAGTACATTAATACCTCAGACAGCTCAGAACTTAATATATCTTTAAGATTCTTTTCATTTATTGGGCTTTCGAAACAGTAGTTCATAGCATGCCATATAACCCATATAGGAAAACTTACTTCTACTGAATTTCTTTACCTGCTTGATTCTCTGTTGTCATTACTTCCACTCTCCTTTTTGGTAGAAAGGCTTAAGATTAAAGGTCTTTCCTTATTTGATTTTTCAGTCTCAGCATGTAATAGAGACCCTAGCTTGCTCTGGTCTGAATGCATCCCTCCGAATTCATGTTGAAACCCGATCCCCATTGTGGTGGTAGTAAGAGGCCAGTGGCCCAATGGATACAAACTATGGAGCTGGATCTGAAGGAAGATTCAAGAGGTGAAGACTTTTGGGAAGTGATTAAGTCAGGAGGGCTCCACCCTTATGAATAAGATTCATATTCTTATAAAAGAAGTTGAAGGGAGTTGTCTTGCTCCTTCCTCTATGTGAGGACACAGCATTTGCCTCTTTAGCCATGTGAGCAACAGCAAGGCACCATCTTTGAAGCAGACAGCCATCCTTCACCAGACACTGTGTCTGCTGCCATCTTTATCTTAGACTTTCTAGCTTTCAGAACTGTCAGAAATAAATTTATATTATTTATAAATTGCCTAATCTAAGGTATTTTGCTATAGCAGCGCCAATAGCTGCTCAAGCATTTTTTTTTCTTTTTTTAAAATAGAGATGAGGTCTTGCTATTTGCCCTAGCTGGCCTCGAACTCCTGAGCTCAAGCAATCCCCCCACCTCAGCCATCTTCAGTAGCTGGAACTACAGCTGTGTGCCACCACCCCTGGCTTCAAGCTTTTGTTTAATAAAAGCATTTGGAATGAATAAAATAAAGTATAATAAAAGAACTCGTTTTCTCATTTCAGTTATAAGAAAAAGTGAGCTTTACTGTCAGACTAGCATGCATTTGTAGCCTGACTTAAATAGTTATCAAGCTATGTGACCCATCGACCAATCACATGAACATTCTACATATCCGTTTTCTTATTAAATTGGGGACAACAAAACCCAAGTCATGGAGTTGTGATTTTTATAAAATATAATTCATGTAAAGCAGCTAGAGCAATTTTGACATAGTAGGAAATCAATAAACAGTAGCTATAATAATTATGATAATACTGGTGTGTTGCTACTTCTCACCAGGCATTCTGCTAGAGGCTCTATGTCTTCAGTCATCACTATAACCCTGTATTATTATCTTCATTACGTTGACTGAGGTACCAGAGAGGATACTTAAATGCCATTCTGGTTGGAAGCTGTGAGACTAGAATTTGAACCCTCCTCTACCTGACTACAGGGCCTGGGATTTTTCAAATACACCATATTGCCTGTTCTTAATAACCCCTAAAGTCTCAATCCCTCTCTTTAAAAGCTTTTCATAAAGTATTTCTATAAATTAAAATATGATCACCCAATCCATTATAGAAGACACCTAATTCAAAATCAGTAGTTTGTACAAAGGAATTTGCTCACAATACATTTTATTTTTACTTTTCTCAGGAAGTCAATTAGGTTTCCTTGATGTAGTGCAGAAAAGCATACAGTTAGATTTTTAACTTGGAAGTAAACATCTACTTCTGTTTCATAGCTCTGAGTCTTTCTCAGAAGTCACTTTAGTGGCCCCAGAGAATTTCCAAAAAGTCCTCTTTGCTCATTTTCGTCTTGTTATATTTCCTTTCCTCTGTTCATATTTCCTTTTAGAGAAAGGAATTGATGTTTACTAATTATTTGGGTTCATTGACAACAGTAGTAGAAACACTTTACCACAATAATAAAAAAAAAAAAACTCCTTTTTTCTGAGGGGATGGTCAGGTTCATGAATGTTCAAATATGTTTTATATATTTTTCAATAAGGAAAATCATCAACAGGAAGGGTATAATTAATAATAATTAATAAAGGAAATATTATTTTGAGCAATTGAATATATATTACATATATTTGTATAGTTATGATGAAGCCAGTTTTGTATTTCTAAATAAAATAGATATTTTGAAAAACAATGGTACTGATCAATGGTTCTCAGAAGGTCCACAAGGTTAATACCACTTTCATAATAATATTAAGATACTACTTAGAGTTTTCACTCTCACTTTCTCATGAACGTACAGAGTTTTCGAGAGGCTATTGCAATAGACTGTGACATATTGCAATAGATTGAATACCAAAGCAGATATGAAAGTTCAATTATCTTCTATTAAAGCAGACATTAAATGCAATTTAGAAAAACACAATCAATAGTAATCTTCTCACTACTTGATTTTGTTTGAGAAAATATTTAATATATTTGTTTTTCAAAATATTTATATTAACATATTATGTTAACATAATAATATATTAACATAATACATTTTAATATATTAACATATAATTAGTTATTGCATTATTTTAAATTAGTAAAAAAATAAGCCTTAAGGTTCTCAGTTTTAGTTTCAATATAGTAAACATTAATAGTTATAACCCACATAAATGAAAAGTCTTGATGTTCATAATTAATTTTAAGAGTGTAAAGTTTATATGACCAAGCTTTAGAAGTGTAGGAAAAAAACAAGAAAATGTTTGTTCAATCTTAAACTTTTTCTTCACTTTTACAATTCCCTGTGATGAAGACCTTTAGGGTCCTTGAAATATGAGAAGTCATTTAAAATAGATCTATTAAAAAACCCTTACAGCATTTTATTCATAACATGAAAAATATTGAGCTCCTTAGAAATTGCTCCATTTGCAAAATATATTTATAACTTAACCAAAATAAATAATTCATACCTCACCAAGTGAGTAATAACGTCTTGGGATCTGGGAGTCCGGATAGATGTTTTCTAGGTACCAAGAAAAGGGTTTACACTTCAGATTTTCTCTTAGTGTTTTTCTGACTGACACATCTCCATAATCCACTTTGACAACACCTGGAATTTTTGAGAGAAACACAAATCAGTTTGTACTATTTTCATTTTAGCACTGTTTCACTCTGTTTACTTTGCTATCAGTTTTTTCTTTATAATTATGATTTCATTAAATTCAATTGCATATGCAGCTGCTACTACACTGGTTTTCTCACTATCATCCAATTAGTACATGAAATACATATAAATAAGAGTTATTTTATTGGTTATGACTTTTGAAATGCAAATATTTATCACCAAGTACTTGTACTTCTTAGAGTGAATAATTAATTAACTAAATGTAAATTGGTATTAATTTAATATCATAATCAAAGCTTAACTGAGCTATTTAATAATGTGTCTGTTTCTCTTTAATAAAAAATTCCAATAGCTCCAATATTTTTGATAATGCTTACATTTTCCCTGTTCAGTCATTTACTTACCACCTGTAGATTTTATGATAAATTTATATAAATAAGAGTCTAAGAATGGACTGAACATATGTGTTCTAACTTTCCCTTCTTCTTCTTGAACTTCTATTCCATCTAGGTTTTACATAAACTGGATTATTCTTTTTATTCATTTTTTTCTATTTTTTTAAATGTGTTATTGAAAGCCAACTCAAGTCCTCAGAGAAGTTAATACATAAATAAGCACAAAGAAATTAACATAAATGAATGAACAAGAATATATTCACATGTAAATATTGAAATTGCTTAATTTTATTTCATATAATAGCAAGATATTTGAAATTTAAATGAATATTTCCATTGAAGATTATAAAAGGATGCTTTATACTTAGGAAATAAAAACAATAATATTAGCAATTTTTATATAAAAACATCTTGGTGACTTGATTTGTTCATTATAATCAATATCAAAAATGACAAATGACATTTGATGAAAATGCCTAACTGTAACAAGATAGCAATTATTTCTTGGATTATTCTGAAAAGATTTCAATATTTAACTCTTTCCTTTAAGGCCAGTAAGGAACCAGACATTGATACAGAAACAAATGGCTTAGTATTTAAGGTATTCTGTCCTAAGTAAGCAGCAAAGCCAATCAATCATTCTATGAAATAGGAACAAGTGTTTAGAAACTCTAAATGTCTGTAACTTATGCCATTATTAGGTCACCATTTTCAAAAGCAGCAACACTCTCAAAGCCCATCACTCACTAGTTTCGCCCTTTTGTCTCTGCAGAATTGCCATAGTGTTGTTAGAAAGCATTCTGATGATGCTTAAACAGCTAAACCATTTTCTCCCAAAAGAAAATATTGATTTTCCTAGTTGGTGTTTGCACAGAAAACAACAAGGTCTTTGGGCTTTTTAAACAGATAAATATTTGGTTTCACAATGATTCTATCCAGAACTTCCAAACTGGAGTGCAACCTTCAAAAGAAGAGGCTCAAAAGCAATTTTCTATTTACAAAATAGATTATTGGAAAGAATTTCTCATTATGTTAAGTACTACAGCAATGGAAATGATCTAATACATAGTCCTCAAAGTCATATAAAGAGATAAAATTGAGATTAGGGGGAAAAAAGCACTGTTCCTTTAGAGGACTTAATTCAACAGTCAATTTTAATGTTGTGGCTTCATTTTCAAGGTAGGTGAATATAAATGAAGTGACTTATTTAATAACAGCTTCCTTCCTTTTTCATCACATAAAGATTTTGTAGTCTTCTCCAGAATTTTTTCCTACACGAGTTTTTTTTATTTCTATTTTGGTGCTCCAATAAAAATTTTTTATGAACACCAAAATTGGAATTTTATATAATTTTTCTGTTGTGAAATGTTATTCTTTTATTTTTTTCCCCCAACAACTTAAAATTAGATCGTGAGCCATTATAAAACAGACAATGAACTGAGTTTGGCCCATAGACCATAGTTGTATGTCCCTGCTGTAAAAGATAAAGTCCTAGAAGGTTTTTGTAAACCGTTTTCTGACTGGAAGGAAGGTTTGAAGTTTTATCTGCGCATCATTTTACCTTAGATCAGAGGAAACATCAATTGCTCACTTTGGATTTAGCACAGGGTCACTGGTGGAGAAAGACAGCTTTTACTGAGGAAAGCTAAAGCCTTCTTACCCTACCACCTCTAAGCAACCAGTTGGCATTCCTACTGCAACTTGAGTTTTATCTTAGTCCCAGACAATTATGTTAAATTACTTGTAGAAATGCACAAAAATACTGTAGGCTTAACTTAATATTTTGGAAGGAATGACTTTCCCCCTCTTTTCCATCTTTTCCTACTTAGAAGTGAGATATCATGTAAGAGATGGCAGTCAGTGCTCCCAAACACTCCGAATACTCCAGGCCCCTGCAGTTAGGCAGGGACATCTGACTAGTTCTGGCCAATACACTGTAAGGGGAAAGAGACATATGCCACTTCTGGTTTTAAAGATAGAAGAGCAAGTATAAGAGCTCTCTTTTCCTTTACTACAGGGACTGAGAAGGTCTTGTGTCCCAGTGGAGGCAGCTACAAGATGGGGTGACCTTAGTTGTGCCTGTATGATTTACTGAGTGTGAAGCAGAGGCTGAATTGGATTATTCAGATCCATAGCTTGAAATGCAATTTCTCCTGTTTCCCAAACTCTTATCTCCAACTCAAGCCTCTACAAAATAGTTTATCCAATTGTTTACTCAAAAGTTTTACTGGTATCGTTAGTAGGCATTTCAAATTTGACAAGTCCAAAATTTGATTCTTCAACCTGCTCCACCTTCAAGTTTCTCTATTTCAGTAACTAGCACAAATATCTATTGATTTTCTCAGGGCAAAAGCATCAGAGTAATTCTCTTTACCTCACAAATGCATATTTAATTCATCAGTCATTCCTCCTGGCTCTACTTTCATAATATATCCTCAGCTCTCTACTGCTACTATCGTGATCCTACCCTTCCTCTCTCTTGCCTAGACTAGCATTGCAATAACTTTCTTGATAGTGCCCTGACATCTAACATTCCTCCACCTACCTGTATTCAATATTGCCTGGTCCTTAGACAATATATTCAAAATACAAATTAGATCATATCACCCTCCTGCTCAAAAGCTGCCAGCGATTTTCAACTATACTAAGAATAATTGAACATCTCTTAGCAATTGGCTGAAGAACTTTCATGAAATGTCTCTTGGTTACCTCTCTGAATTCATTTATGCTCACTTCATTCTAGCCACACTGATTTTTGTCTTTTCTCTGACTGTCTTTAAACATGCCAAGCTCATCCACAATTCAAAGCTTTGTACATGTCTTTGTTTTTGTCTGGAATGATATTACCCTGGAAATTTCATGACTTGTCCTTCAGATGGCCCAAGTCTCTGCTCAAACTGTACTTCCTCAGGTTTACCCTGATCTTCCTATCTAAATTTACCCTTTCCTCCCATCATCCTGAGTCAGGCTCTATCCCTCTATCCTGCTTAATTTTTCTCCATGGCACTTTCTCGGTGGCACTATCTAATATCATATTATAGGTTAATTTGCTCATCACCTCTTCAACAAATCTTTGAATTAATTATTTTTTCTCTTGAAGCTTAAGATACTCTATCTGATAATATCTTATAGGATATTATAAATACTAAATAATGTCTCGAAAAGGCTTAGTACAAATATTGGCATAAAATAATTGCTTAATACATATTATATATTGCATTGGATATCTGTTGTTTTGCATACTCCACAGGCATTCTGACTTCTGGTAAAAGCACTTGAATTTTCTTTGGTCAACCATTCCTGCCTCATTTTTGGTTTGGGTGGTTTGGGTGGAGCTGGCTTCCTTCTCTCCATCCTTTCAGTTCCACCTGGGGGCACAGAGTACAGACACATCACCAGAGAATCTTGTTAAAGTGCAAATTCGGATTCAGCTGGTCTGGCTGGGGTCTTTGAGTTTGCATTTCTAACAAGCTCCTGGGGGATGCTGCTGTTGCTCAGGCCAGCTTTTGAGTAGCACCCAAGACAATCAGAGAATTCCATTTCTCAACCATACTAATCTCAACTGAGATCATAATGATTAGTTCGGAAGTACGTGTGAACCAGTCAGCTTAATAAATGTATACCCTGAGAATTTGCTAAGCCCATTAGGAATTTGAATCTCTATTTCCTCTAGAATAGGAAATTGTAAAGATGAGTTAAAGTTGGAGCTTCTGGGGCTACCATACAGAGAATGCCTACGATAGTAACACCAATAAAGAAGTAAGATAAATCAATAGATGGAAAGTGAAAGAGTGAGAGAGAGAAAGAGGAGGAGATAAAGATAGAGATCAGAGGCCATGCCAAGGTTAAGTCAACAGATATTTATTGTGGTCCAAATGTATACAAGGCACTTTTTCTAGGCACTTGGGATATATCTGTGAACAAAACAAAATTATCTTCCTCTGTGGAGCTTACATTCTACTGGAGAGAGACACACAAAAACAGTAATACATTAGAAGGTGATACATGCTATGGCAAAAAATAGGCTAAGATGAAGGAGAAAGGTTGTAATTGAGGCAATCTTAATGTATTCTTACTATCTAAAGGCAATTTATGAGAGTTATACATATTTAAGGCAAGTCTTTCAATGGGACTTGCAAAAGCCCTAAATAGGATTTGACAATGAGATAAAGGTTCATAATGAGTAAGAAAAAAAAGAATATTTTAATTAACTCCAGGGTTGCAGGTTTGAGTAATAGGTAAATGATAACACTTACAGGTTGCTATATTTTATTTAATAACCTATCCTTTATTCATCATCTTTAGTCCATTGCATGATAGTGAATTCAGATATTTAGAGCAATCATGTTTTAAATTTTTCAATAGATATTAGATGGAAGATCATAATTATTTGAATTTAATTTTTCCCTAGTAGACACCTAGTAAGTCTAACAGTTCTGTCTCCACATAATTAATGTACCTGATGAAAGAATACCGACTGCATGCTAAAGCTTAGAGTTTTATGCATAAGAATACATATTGGAACATAACTTAAAGTGTAGAAAAGGGGAAATAATTTTCCTTCAATAAGGATTGTTTAACTAAATCAAT